TGTTTTGTTTTTTGTTTTCTTTTGTCTTATGAAGAGGGGGGTAAGGACACTGTAAAGCCTTTACATAGCACCTTCTATAAAAGATAATCAAGAAATTTTATTCTCTTTCTTAAAGCTGAGCTGCTCTATGTTGCAAAACAAATGCCTGAGTTAAGCTGGGAATCCACAGCTGTAGGTGCTTTGTGCTGCTGCAAGCAACTAATCCTCTAACTGAAGCTTTTTAATAAGTCTGTTAATAGGTTACATTAAATCTCTGTCCTGCATCAGGCCTGGAGCACTGATGAAGAAACTTCTGTGCTGTCACTAACTGTAATGAGAAAATCAAAGTCCAAAGTATAAGAGCTGTGCTCTGCTTTGAACTGCTGCAGAACAGATGCTGACTTCTTGAACTATGTACCTATATACCTAGATTCTTGTTACACTTTTTAAGTCTAACTATCAACACCTTACCTTGAACCTCTGCCCTCACCTGAGGAGAGGAGTTAAAAATCATGTCATGACTTACAGAGCATTTGGTTTAAAATATAATGTGTAAGGTAACTGTCACACTACTTTAGCATATTGTACTGATCGATGTTGTCTTAAAAGCTGTTAGTGTAAAAGCTTAAATAGATTATTTTTTTTTCCAACGTGAAAGCTTTCTCTCTCTCCTACCTTCCCTACTCCCAAACAGAAGCAGAATGGCCCTAAATGCTACCCAAGCTTTCTACTTGCTGGTGAGTAACAAGAGTTTAGCCAGTATGTCACTGACAATGGCAGAAGTGTATAGGGACTACAAAGATGAAGATGGCTTTGTGTATATGACCTATGCTTCCCAAGAGATGTTTGGATGCCTTCTACCCAGCACCCAAAAGAAACTTGTGGACCATCTTCAAACAACTTAAGTCTGTGGTTGGCAGCTGCAGCCAGGCAGCTTCTCTGTGAATTGTGCCAGTTTGGAGATCAGAGATGCTCTTTCTAATGTGGGCTCTTAAACTCTGTACTGAGGGCTAATGGCCCAGATGTTGGCGGGACCAACTGATCCAGAAGTGATGATGCTGTCTTCCTAAACTTGGAGATATGTTTTATATTGAAGACACTAATGCGTTTTTTGAACTGCACCTCCAAATATGGTTTGGTTTTTTTGTAATGCTTTAGGGTTGTTTGTAATGCTAATGTTTAACTTATGTAGCTGCTGCTTTTTTTTAAGGTTCCTCTAAAGACTGAGACTAATAGGTTCAAATAAAGAAACTTTTAAGACCAGGTTAAATCTCAACACTAATTGGGGAAACAAATATTCAAAGACACTTTGTAGAAAGCTAGAAGACCTGAATAAGTACAGGTTTGGAGGATGACTATAATGGTATATTGTATGCATGTGTTCTTGCACCCCTTACCTTGTTAGCTGGCTTCATATGCATTGCTGTATAGTTCAGTTTTAAGAATCGGATCCTGTCTTGTTAATGGCAAAACAACTGTAGGATGCTGTTCCTGTCCACACTGGGTCAAATTTGTCAATAGTGAATGGAGCTGGATTACTGTACCTTGAATGAGAAGCAAACTGCCTCTTTAACCTAAAACAGATGTACTTTATCTGAAACTGAAAGCAATGCAGCACAGGTCCACATCTCTTCCTCCAGTTAGGGGTCCCCTTCTTAAGGCACCTAAACAAACTAGCTTAACTGACCACTTAGGTGACTGAGTTCTCTGACTTTGGACTGAATAGCACAATTACTGTACAATCAAGTACAACTCCCTATCCTACACAACGTGAAAACATGATGACTTGTTTTAAAACATTTTTATTAAATTTCAGAAACTAAATGGGTCTCAACTTGTATTCTTCCTGTGCATAGGAATATGTGGGGAAATAAGTCAGCAGAGCAGTCTTGCTGAGCAGCTGGAAGCTGAAGTTTTATATCCTTGCTGAGTAACACTCATCACCTAGTCTGGTATGGCCTTACTTAATGCAGGGACTTAAACTACTGGGACAGCCAGGTAACTATAGCTCATCTCTGCCATGTATCAAACTGATTGTTTACCCTCTGCAAATATCATAGGCCTAAAGGATGCAGAAGTGTTTAATTTGGGTTCAAATTGCTTACAGTGGCAGGGTCTGAGACCTCAATCCTTGTGCACTAGATATTTCCAGGAACCCAGTGGACACCGAGGTGTTTGGACCACTGGTGCAAGTCCCTCATAATTCCCAAAGTTGCTGCATTAGTCTGCAAGTTTGCAAGTAGCCCCAGTGAAAGTATTCTTACCAGGTCAAGAGCCATAAGGTGTTTCAAAGAAATCATTAGGCCAGCCAGGTCACTGGAAAGGGTAGACCCTGAGAGAGTTTTATATTACAAAAGTACATGCACAACCAAATCCCAGAGCCTGTTACATAGATTGATTTCACTTTTATTCAAAAAAGCATTAAGCAGATGGTTGCTGTTTTGCAAATTTGAGCTTTGTTACAAGCCATTGGGAAGGCAGGAAGACACCTGTTAGGCAGCAGTAATAGGAGAGAAATGAACAGCTGAAGGAATCTTCCCTTTTATCACCATTACTGTGTCCAAGAATAATGAAGCTTTTTAGGCTGTTTAAAAGATTGAGCTAATAGGTTTGGCTTGCTCTTGCACCCTTTCTGCTTGTCTTTCAAACCTATGTGATACTTAGAACATAGAGAGGAAAATGCTTCAAATACTTTGCTGGGGCAATTGTATTATTTGATATACATGTCTTTCTCAGCTATATTTCATACTGGCTTGGGTCTATGTATCGATCGCTCTGGCTGTGGTTAACATTTAGGTGGTGTGTGTGTCTTTAACTTGAACTTGGGCTGAGTTACCAATCCAGACCAAAAAGTTACAGAGGAGCAAGGTCAGTTGCAGGTAAAGATCCTTGTTAATATAATTAAACAAGTTACCTGAACCCCACAATTGACTAACAACCCTTTTTACTCCTTAGTAAAGCTGTGACCCATCTGCAAGGTTTCAAAATTTTTTAAATAAAAATATCAAAGGTTGGAAGTTTCAAAGTTTCTTGAAATGATAAACCAAGAGCTAGATGTTTATCATCCAAGTGGTAGTTCTCCTGCTAGTGAAATTGCCTGGGTTTGAATATGACCTTTGGATTCAACCTATTGTCACCTCAACTGCTAGGAATTGGTGTCATCTAATCCAACTAGAAAAAGGGCAAACTAGAGGAACATTTTGCTGTGTTGGCTGAAGTATGGACCTCTGTAAGTGAGATAACCACAGAGCTTCTTCCAGCATGGCTGGTGTTTTAAAGAATCAATATTGATATAAGATATCACAACCTTATTTAAGATAAGTGCACAGATATTGCAGTCAGGAGCACCACTGGATGAAACTAGAGGAGGCAAATACCGCAGTTGTTGCCTCTGCTATTGACTAGACAAGACTGATGCATCCTAGCCAGGTCTGTCAACTCACCTTCTTTCTGAATGGCGTTATGTATTTGGGTGCTTTGCTGTTTCAAAGATGGAAGCCAGAAAATCTGGCTGTTGCTGATTATGGGTCCAGTTTTACAAGGTGATGAGCTCTTGGATCCCAAGACACTTAACCAAGTTGCTTGTTACTAGCATCACTCGGCTACAAAAGGGCTCTTCTGCATTGGGGCCTTAAAGATCAGCTGGTGCCATTATATCAGTAACTCCTATTGAAACGAAGTTAGGTCAGAAGCTAATAGCACCCTTCCTACTCTAGCACAAATAGTGAATCTTGGCTACCCTGTCTATAAAATAGGGATAATTCTACTTTTCCACAAAAGAGTTTAAAGTGCTTTCAACAAGGCAAAGTGCTAAATGAGGGATAAAAGCAGCTGTGGTTTTGGGGGAGCATGGCTGAGCTTCCCAGACAGTGAGTTTGATAGGGTGGGGGAACAGAGGAAAGGTGGTGTCAAGTGGAAATAGTGAGTAGCTTAGGAAAGGCAGTGTCAAATGGAACAGCGAGCTGCTTAGGCAGTTGCTGATCACTGAGCAGCATCATGCCTGCCCTGATTGAGGCCCCAGAAAGTGGGATGATGTCAATTCCTGTGTATGCTGCTGATGTTCTTGCACAGGAAAGCACAAAGATGTGCAGATGGCAAATTTGCTGTTAAGTTGCTTGTAGGGCCATCATAGTTATAGGTAATGCTTATACAAAAGCTCCCTGTTGCAGTGGAAGGAGGGTGGAGCTCCCTGGAACATAGAGCTGGGCAGAAGGGTGGTGAAAGAGTATCTAGCTAACATCTGCTCCCTGCTTCCTCGTCTAATCCTTTTGCACACTCCTGTGTCCTTTTGGTAGTTCCTTGTATGTCTCTAAATAACTAAAACTGCTAGGTGGGGGGAGCCAGCCTTTGTTTTAGTTTCCTTTAAAAAGGTGGGGCTACTGTGCTACTGCAGTATAGCAGTAGCTCCTACTGAAATAGGGAATTGGGGAACTCGGGTGGGGGGGCTATTGGATCCCTGGTGCTCAGTGAATATGGTAAAAAATCCATGAATTTTTTTTTTTTTTTTTTTTTTTTTTTTTTTTAGGGAAA